GGTTGATTGAGATCAAAATAAATATCGGTGGTGGGCACAGTTCCACTTATCCGCAAATATCTGAACTAGCTTCTCATTAGCGAACTGATTAGCTTCTGCTGAAATAGGTTCCTCTAACTTTAATTCCACTAAAAATTTCACAAGTGTAAAACTTCTATTTTTATGCTGTTTTTCCCAAATTAAATGAAAAAAATCTATTCCCTCTTACAAGAAGTGCTGTGTAGCAGGATCTTTAGCAGCTGAACTTTAAACCACAACCATAAAAAATAAATGAAATAACATTAACATTATTTAAATAACAAATACAAAAATGGATTATATATAAAATATGGTAGAGAAAATATTTGCAATTAATTGTTTGACTAACCTTAAATGCAGTGGTGGGCACAGTTCCCCTAAAGTGCATTAGGGCTTTAGAATCAGGGGACCTAAATATTTGTGTTAGTGTTTTAGGGCTAGTGGGACTAATGCTGCTAACGACTACTTAAATAGTTTAAAATAAATAAATAAATAAAACTCAAGCAAAGAAATGCTTATTCTGATTCTGAAAAGGTTAAACTGGAATTATCACAAGTCAGACAGCTATAACCCTGGTTTGGATTGGCCAATTTGTCACAAATGATCCRGCCTACCTTCAAATTAAACCAATAGAAAAGGTTTGTGTCAGTCCCACCAGTCTTCAGCTAGAAGAAGATGACAGTCATCTTAGCAGTTAGCGTTAGCTAATTTTTTAAAATTTGTTTAGGATTAGCTAAAATTCTTGTTTAGCAGATMAGTGGTTAGTGAACCTAACATTTTGGTTAGCGGTGCCCACCACTGGAAACATTAAACTGCATGGGGGAAAAAAAAGATGCAAGATCTGACCACATGAGTGAAATGCTACGAAAAATAAACTACACTCTTAAAGTCACAAATTTGATCACTAATTCAAACAATAGCAGCATTAAGTAAAAAAAGTAAACAAATAAAATACAAGTAAATGCTAAAGTTCAGAACAAAAAAACGAGTATACGTAAGGCAAGATGACGATACAGTAAGATGGTAAAATTGTTAGAAAATAAATAAATCTAAACTTAAGCCAAAGAGGCTTTACAGTGTCAAAAACTGGATGAAAAATTGAGTTAAAAGGTTGTTTTCAAACAAATTATAACATTAAAGAAAGAACAATTCACAAAGGTCACACTTGAAAACAACAAACGTAATTAAAAGAAAAATAATAATCAAAATGCCTTGATAGTCTTGAGACTTCGTCACCTGCACAGATTCAGATGCATTGAAGCAGACTCAGAACCAATGAGAGAAAACATCCTACCTCTGTTCATAGAAAAATAAAATGAATCTATGCAGGGTACAATAAAATCTCAAGACTATCAAGGCCCTCTGGAGAGAAATGCGCCAACGAAAGATTAGTTTTATGACGTCTCAAGGGATTGTGAGGRGTAAATAAAATAAAGAGTCTCCTGTAAGTGCCTTAATGCAACATAGTCCAGATCATCAACCAAACGGTTTCTCTCTGCCTCTTCCCACAGAGATGACATCCAAACGGTGGCACGACTGTCATCAGGTCATCAGAGAAAACCGCCGAGGATGATTTCACGAGGATCAGCCCAAGTCTATCCATTTCAAATTAGCGTAGAAACAAATAAAACGCTTTTCTCCACACGTGAAAAAAGAAAAACAGCCTTAAACATATAATTAACTCTTATCTCCGAAGAAAATATAAACACAAACAGATAATTTAAGCCTTTTCCTTATAGCGTTTTAACTGTTTGTCTTCGGTTAAATCAGTCTGACAGCAAACACACACAAAAATAAACATTTCCTTTCACAGCGTTTCATCTTTCCCCACACAGATAAATCAGGCCTGCAGCAGGTGTTTTTTCACCYGCAACTAAACTGCTGCAACGATGACGCAATTATTGCTATTTACATGAGAGAAATCACAAAAAAGTGGCACTGAAATGGATCTCTCATGCTTGGAATCGAAACWGGATTCCTAAAGTGATACTCTGACTCCAAAAGGAAAGTAAATTTTGTCAAAACAAGACAAAAAGAAAAACAGTAGATTATTAAAAAAAGAGAATTTACAGGCAACAGATTGTCAGATGGGAAACAGGTGCAAATTTTGATACTTTTTGGCAAAAACAAAACGTCTTTAAGATTAAAAACTAATCCCTTCAAAAAAGTCATTGTGTATTTTCTTAACTTTATTTTGTAAAAACTAATATCTCTTAGAGCCATTTTATGCTCAATTGAAAGAGATCTTTTTAGACTTTTWCTAACTTTGTTAGCTTAGTAACTTGAATTGTCTGGTTTGTGTTTTTGCACTTTAATATCAATTTTACCTCTTAATTTATCCTATCATTTCCCCAAAGGTCTCCTCAAATCTAAAACAGTCAACTAAAACACACCTATGAGAAATAAAAAAAAAAAAAAACATCAGTTCAGGTTTTCAAATATTTGCACATGATGCAGATTTATAGGAGTATCACTTCAAGCTACACAGAGCAAAAATCACGTCGTATTTCTTAARATTCCTCAGTTTCCAGTGACAACGTGGCCTGATTTTTATTCTGTTTTGCAGGATACGACTCCGGTTTTTCACCGACCCTCAGAGTTTTCGGTGAGGTTTCCTCATAAAGCTCCAAGGTTCTGTTTGTTCGTGTAGTCGTCGTGGGGCAAACGGACCTCAGCTCCTGTCGAAAACAAGAGCCGCTTAATTGTCACGAGGCTCGGGAAGCTGCGCTCCTAGATGGAGCTCTCGTCGGGTTGCGGGTGCAGCTGCGTGTGGTTCCTCTTCTCCAGGATCCGGTTGAGCTCCTCCGTGAAGGAGTGGTAAAGCGGAGACACGCCCTCAGGGTCGGCCTGCCTCAGCAGCACGTAGCTGTTCCCGTTCATCTTCCTCAGGACGCTGGGCAGCGTGGCCGACAGCCCGTTGGCGTAGTCCACGTTGGGAAGCGGGGGCGGGTTGGGAAGCGGCGGCGCCGGCGGGGGCGTCTTGGCCGGAGACATCTGATCCTCGTCGGGYACGATCTGGAGGAAGGTGTCGAAGGTCGGCACGGAGATGGAGCGGCGACCCTGGCGGCCGTTGCAGTGGCTGGAGATGGTTTTGAGCTCCAGGTGGGAGCTCCGGTTTCTCTCGGACTCCCCCAGGACCCGCAGACCCTGCTGGGAGAACTTGCGGCTCTGAGCGGCCCGTCTGGTGCAGAAGCTCACGTAGAGCAAGACCACAGTCAGCACCAGGCAAAGCCCTCCGAGAACCGCCACCAGGGAGATGTAGATGGCCTCCATGTGCCTGTAGATCTGGAACTCTGCTCCGGGAGGCAGCGGAGCCGGAGGTGAAGGCAGCGGCTGCTCGGTGGGGGTGACYGTGGAGAAAACGGTCGGAGCGGAGACCAGAGTGGGGTCTTCTGTGTCTGTGGGCCCCACAACGAAGTACGGATCCGTGTGAACTTTCACCGTGTAGAGGTAAACCAGCACCGAGACGCCGTTCTCCATGGCGAAGCAGCGATACGAGCCGCCCTGTTGGGTTCGAGCGCCGATTATCAGGAGGCCATCGGTGCCGATGCGGTAGCCGGAGTTCAGGCCGTACCCCAGGAGCTCCTTCCCGTTCAGAGTCCAGCGCGGAGTGGCCAGGTTGGAATGTAACTCGCACTGAAGCAGGACATCGTCACCCGCCATCACAGACCGCCGCCGATGGATCACTGAAAAACAAAACCAGACGACAAGAGACCCCCGGGTCAGCGAGGGAGGAGGAGCAGAACAGAAGCTAAAATAAGAAGAACAGTAACGAACAAACGAGCAGGATTGTACCTAAAAACTAAAATAAACACAGCAGTAAAAGGCTTCAACAAGCAGGATAGTAGCTAAAAGCTAACATAAACAACAGTAAAGAGCTTAAACCAGCACGATAGTAGCTAAAAGATAACATAAACACAACATTACAAAGCTTAAACCAGCAGGACAGCAGCTACAAGCTTAAAAAACAAAACAGTAAAAAGCTTAAACCAGCAGGATAGTAGCTACAAGCTAACAAACAAAACAGTAAAAAGCTTAAACCAGCAGGACAGCAGCTACAAGCTAACAAACAAAACAGTAAAAAGCTTAAACCAGCAGGATAGTAGCTAAAAGCTAACAAACACAACAGTAAAAGGCTTCAAGAAGCAGGATAGCAGCTACAAGCTAACATAAACACAACAGTAAAAAGCTTAAACCAGCAGGATAGCAGCTAAAAGCTAAAATAAACAAAGTAAAGAGCTTAAACCAACAGGATAGTAGCTAAAAGCTAACATAAACACAACAGTAAAAAGGTTAAACCAGCAGGACAACAGCTACAAGCCAACAAACAAAACAGTAAAAAGCTTAAACCAACAGGAAAGTAGCTAAAAGCTAACAAAAAAACAGTAAAATGCTTAAACCAGCAGGACAGCAGCTACAAGCTAAAAAAAACCTAGAAAAACTATTCCTAACAGTTAAAACCAACAACACAGTAGCATAACAGTAGCTCAAAGTTGAAATAATCAAGTCAGTTACTAAAAGCTAAAACAGGCATACAAGTAGAAATACACTAAACTATCCTTAAACCAGCAGAAAAGTAGCTAAAAGATAAAACCAACAAAACAGCAGCTAATACACAGCTAAGCAAAAACATAAACTAAAAGATAAAACCAACAAAACAATAGCATACCAGAAAATATGAATTTAGGAACAATTGCTAAAAGCTAAAATTAGCACAACAGTAACAGAAGACTTAGAGCAGTACAACAGCAGCTAAAAGCTAAACTACAAAACAGTATAAAACAGTAGCCATAAATTAGCAAAATGCTTGCCTAATGCTAAAATTAGCAGAACAGTTGCAAAAAGCCTTAAAGTCAAAATGAGKAAAACACTAGCAAAAAATTGCAAAACAATAGCTGAAAGAAGCAGATTTCAAAGGGCAAACAGCTTTAAGTAATTAGAAATCTTGATGCATTTTATAGGGGAAATGTTTGCAAATAAAATTCCATATTTTAAACAAATTTAAGCCCATAAATGTCAAAAGCCACAAACCACTATTTCTGATCGAGTCGAAAGTTTTGATGTGTTTAAAGTGTGAAGAAGTAGTTTGGTTGTCCAGAAAAAAATCTATTAKGATGAAAACAACAACGTGGACGCTGACTCAGCAGGACCAGGAGACGGATACAGAACAGGATGTCAGGTCACTGAGGCCGTGCTTTAAAAGTGAGGGTGAGCAACGTGTGCAGCTGCAGCATCACTTTCTATCACATCTCTTAAGCCTCCTTAAACGTAACYAAGCCCTGCAGTGCAGCAGCACGACCGCCTGACCTCCTGCAGGAGAGGAGCTGATTAAAATGTGTGCTCTGGGACCCGTGGGGCTGTGGGATATACACCTAAAAAATCCTTCAGGAAATCTCTTTTTTTTAAGGCAGAGAAAGAAAAGAACGTTATGAACTGTTTAAACACTTAATCCGACTGAGAGAGTCAGAAAATTCATCACAGAAGAGCAGGAGGTTAAACAAAAGTGTTAAAACTTCTTAAAAATTCAATGAGGGGTCGAATAATGGATGATAAATAACTCTGTGTGTGTTTTAAGACYTACCATTTCCTGAATTCTCCTTACAGCCCCTGATTCCTTTGCTGACATCCTGGGTCAGGTTTGACCTGAAAGAAGGATTTCAGAAAAATTAGCAACTAATTTACATCACAACCAATAAAAAAGACGTTTTATTAAGTCATTTTCAAACATTTCAAGGGAAAAAAAAGCATTATCTCAGCTACAATATGCTAAATTCTAGTGCTACATTAGTAAAAGTGGCTAAGTTATCCCCATTATTGTGTTTCCAAAGATCAGTTAGCTGACTAAAACTTTTATTAAGACTAACGTTGGGAGATGAACATATTTTCTCCAAGCAGAAAAGAGAGGCAGTGATTTTCTTTCACAGGCAGAAACTAAATGGCGTAGCGTTGGAGCTTGCTGCTCCTCCTGGCAGAGTGATCCTCGTGTTCTTGGATGTGTTTCCGTCACAGGACAGTTTGTAAGTAAAACTCTTCCAGCACCACGTTTACAGAACAGGCTGTTCGCTCCGCTTTATGAAAGATTAACCGAATGATTTGTTTCAGAAATCAAACGAGGGGGGAGTTGTTCGCTATCGTCTCTAAGAGGTTTCATTAATATTTCATTGTTCTCACTGRTTTTATTTATTTTATTTTTTTAGCAGGCAACACGACTAAAACTAATGCACGGGAGAGGCTGATGTGTCAGCAGCCGTAATAGAGATTAAGATGTCTGCTGTTCACTCATGCAAAGTGAATGAAGACGGAAAACAGAAGAGAGAGTGTGTGTGTGTGTTCTAGCGTTTGATAACTTGTGAGGCCCATTTGTCCAAAACATCTTACTTTGTGGGAACCCACTGCTTCTAATGGGGCCCAGAGCCTGGGGCTGATGGGTACGAAGGCTGTTTTTAGGTGGGGTGTCACATTTAGGACTAAAGAGTGAACTAGGGGTGGTTAGGTTTAAGGTAAAGGTCAGGGTAAGACTATTGAAATGTCTGAAAAATGAATGGAAGTCAATGGAAAGTCCACATGAAGATAGCAAGACACTTGTGTTTGTGTGTGTGTGTGTGTGTGTGTGTGTGTGTGTGTGTGTGTGTGTGTGTGTGTGTGTGT